CCTCCATAAGGAGGGAAAGCCTCAAAAGGTAATTGCGAAAGAAGTTGGATGTTCCCAAAATGCTGTATCAAAGCACATTAATAGAAAGTTATGTGGAAGGGAAAAGTGTGGAAGAAAAAGGTGCACAAGCAGCAGGGATGACCGCAGCCTGGAGAGGACTGTCAGGAAAAGGCCATTCAAAAGTGTTGGGGACTTTCACAAGGAGTGGACTGAGGCTGGAGTCAGTGCATCAAGACCCACCACACACAGACGGATCCTGGACATGGGCTTCAGATGTCGTATTCCTCTTGTCAAGCCGCTCCTGAACAACAAACAATTTACCTGGGCTAAAGAAAAACAGACCTGGTCTGTTGTTCAGTAGTCCAAAGTCCTCTTTTCTGATGAGAGCAACTTTTGCATCTCATTTGGAAACCAAGGACCCAGAGTCTGGAGGAAGAATGGAGAGGCACACACTGCAAGATGCTTGAAGTTCAGTGTGAAGTTTCCACAGTCTGTGTTGTTTTGGGGAGCCATGTCATCTGCTGGTGTTGGTCCACTGTGCTTCATTAAGTCCAGGGTCAACAGAGCCGTCTACCAGGAGATTTTGGAGCACTTCATGCTTCCTTCCGCAGACAAGCTTTATGGGGATGCTGACTTCATTTTCCAGCAGGACTTGGCACCTGCCCACACTGTCAAAAGCACCAAAGCCTGGTTCAATGACCGTGGGATTACTGTGCTTGATTGGCCAGCAAACTTGCCTGACCTGAACCCCATAGAGAATCTATGGGGCATTGCCAAGAGAAAGATGAGAGACATGAGACCTAACAATGCAGAAGAGCTGAATGCCGCTATTGAAGCATCCTGGTCTTCCATAACACCTCAGCAGAACCACAGGCTGATAGCTTCCATGCCACTCCGCATTGAGGCAGTAATTGCTGCAAAAGGGGCCCAAACCAAGTACTGAGTCCATATGGATGCTTATACTTTTCAGAGGTCTGATATTGTTCTATGTACACTCCTTGTTTTATTGATTGCATGTAATATTCTAATTTACTGAGATTGTGGATTTGTGGTTTTCATGAGCTGTAAGCCATAATCATCGCACTTATGACAAATCATGGCTTGAACTATCTTGCTTTGCATGTAATGCATCTATCTCATATATTAGTTTCCCCCTTTATGTTGCATTACTAAAATAAATTAACTTTTGCACGATATTCAAATTTTTCGAGTATCACCTGTATTTCTGTTCAGATATCCACACATGTACCTTCCTCATTGCAGTCTGAGCCAGATTAAGGTTGCCCAGGTGTCTTAGGCAAGGTGCCAGATTGGAGACCCCTCCTAAAGAACTGGGCTTTGTTTCTGTGAGTGTTTTGTGTGTGTGTTATGTGAGCAAGTGTATGTCTATATCTGTATGTGTGTGTCTGGGATCATATTAGTGTGGGATAACTGCTTGAAGAGCTGCCTGTAGTCTTTGTGTGTTGTGTTTATGGTGAGACTGTGTTTTATGTGTGGGATGTAACTGTGTCTCATGCCATACCAGGGGTAAGCTCCCTCAGTAAATTATTGACCCAATAACTGGTATGAAACGCATAGCTCTGCCAATGCCATCTTGTCATTAAACCCTTCATGACGCATGATGGAAAATATTCCATTATGCTTGTCCTATAGTTAAGGACGCATGACGGAAAATTTCCATCATTTGATAAATTTAACCCCAGATCACCGGGATCGCGGGATTAACGCTCCTCCAGTCTGCCTCCGATACGAGGAGCACCTGATTGCACTGTCCTTCAGCTGTGATTGCTCTGACAGCCTGTATGGACTCCTGCTCCATCTCCCTGCGCTTCTGCGTTCAGTGTGAAGTGCAGGAAGACAGGTCAGTACTGATGATCTTCTCCCTGCAAAAAAAATAGTTTAAATAAAAATGAACTCCTTCCCTGCCATTTGATCACTTCCTACAGTGATCAGAATACAGATCAACTGTAAACTGATTATTTTTTTAAACCCCTGATGGTTAACTTTTATTTTATTTTTTAACCCTCAGGGGTAAAATGTATTTAATTAATTATTTGAAATATCTTTAAATTATATATTTAGCTAGCTGGGGTGGGTGGAAGTTAGTGGGAAATTGGGAAATTTGGTGTTAGTCTTGGTAGGAATTAACAGTAAAAAGAGTTTTTAAAAAAATTTTAAGAGTAAAAAAAAAAGTAAAAAATATGTTTTAATTATGTTTTAATTACATTTAAACAGTTTTAAAAATCTAATCCGTACATACGGGGGTATTGTTGTACTCAGACAACATAGCCGAACAACATATGAAATATTATATATCCGTAGCACACATAAGTTATGCAAAATATACCGTGCTTACTCACTTTGTCAAAAAGGCAGAAAAAAAATGCTTATTACCACTACACTTGGTACAAGCTAATGGAAAAATTATCCCATGCCAAGGTTCAAAATATGCCTTTTGAAATAACCTGGGATGTCTTCTTTAAGAAATGGTATGCCTTTTTTTGGGTTAGAATATGTAGCCTGCTAAAAAAAAAATCCAAAATTGGACATGGACACAGTGTAATAATTCAAAGTTTGAAAAAAACCTGGAAATGGCTGTGTCTCAAATGTGCCCTTTTAACATCCACATGTACCTGACAAAGGTACATACAAGGGTATTGCTGTACCCAGACGACATAGATAAGCAATATATGAAGTAATATACAGCAGTAACACACACAAGGTTTGCAAAATATACTGTGCAAAGTCACTTTTGTGTGTCAAAAAGACAGAAAAAAGTACTTATTACCAGTACACTCGGTACAAGCGAACAGAAAAATGATCCCACGCAAGGTTCAAAATATGCCTTTTGAAATATCCTGGGTTGTCTTCTTTAAGAAAGGGTATGCCTTTAGGGTGTAGTTGGAATATGTAGCCTGCTAAAGTACTCCAAAATGGAACACAGACCCATCAAAATCATCTATGAAAATTCACACTAAAAAACCTGAGCTTGTCACGTCTCTTTTACAACACTGTAACTTCACAAAATAGTGTCTAGGCCATGCATTAGGTATATTGTTTTACTAACTGAGCGTAATTTGGGGGATTTTATGACAGTGGCACACCTAACATTTGTTGTGTGGGGGGGTCCTCAGGTCTCTCCTAGTATGATGCCTGAACATGCTACTATGTCTGAGGTTCCTTGGATCTGCCTGGTAAATGTCTGTGGTCCCTGAACATGCAGGTCTGGTGGTTTCTGAACATGTTGCCATGTTTAGGGGGCTCATGTCTGTCTTGTGTGAAAGTATTGAGACCTCTCTAGGATGACTGGGCCCCCTGCTTTGTCTGTGGGACCCTCAGTGCAAGCCCCACACATTACAACCAGAAGCTAGTAGCAGCTGCATCCCAGGCCCCTGAACATACTAGGCCCCTTCCAATCTCCACCCAGGGCCACCATCCATGCAGCTAGGAGCATCATCCGGCCAACTTCTCATCTAACTTGCTATCTAACTCATTTAGTGATGCTGCTGCATACTGAAAGTACACAGCTCACACTCCCTGTTCCAGCACGGTCCTCTCACTTGCAGACCTGCTGCTTGCCGTGGATGGGCTACAGCCTAAAGGCCAAAAAAAACTAAAACTTCCTGTCCGGCGACCGAAACTGCATATAACATATCCCTGGATATCAGCATTTGTTGCAGTTTCTCTGACAGTCTGTAGACAGGATGCAAGTTAAAAGCAGCTCACTCAGTGCTGTTGATTCTGATATGTGCATATACATTTCATAAGCAAGTCTTTCTGGAGTGAGGTGTGTGGCTAAGGAGGCAGGATTATGGTGCAGCATTCTGCAAAATATAGAAATTTTTGTGCAGAAACTCTATTAACTCCATTAGTTGTCTTGGTGCCTTGAGTGTCCCTTTAAATTTGAAATTCACTTTGAATTCTCACTTGACAAATAACCCTGTTTATATTTAAACTGCGGCTATCAAGAATGATATTTTACTAAATATTTTAGTAGATCATATTTAGCGTAATAATTCCAGTATTTAGCGTTTAATGTGAAAACGGTTTTCTTAATTTCTTACCATTTTGATTCCTATGTATTTTTGGGAGCTTGGGAATCTATCAGTTCCACCTAACATAATAGTTTATTATTATATAGTACAGCAAAAACTCATGTAAAGTGAAAAAACCCAGGCAATTCACAAGCTAATACCTGACATAAATGAAACTTTGAGAGTACCAGGAAAATGATACCCGATGGCACTGTATTATTTATTTTCTGGAGCAGAGCTTGCATATTTAGCAGCAATGAATATTTAAGCAAGTCATTTGGTCATCAGGTCTCTTTCAAAGACCTGCTACGAGTGCAATATATAAAAGTGCAGTGTGTATCTGGAAATACAAAATATGCACTGCATGAAAATATGTATGATTGATCTTGCAGTATAGAATTTGAGTTCATGAAGTTATTTATCTAATGGTTCACCTTTTAAAGGGGGTATCCAAAATATATACATTCATTCAGTATATTTGTTTAGACTCAAGAGAAAATAACAGTTCAATGAAACCCGTTGCAATACAAGTGTGTTTTTGGGGTAACCAAGAGGCACACTAGTTCATGAAATTGCTCCAGAGAGTCAATTTTACACCAACACAGGAGGCTTCTTTACAAAAATCTCCAACAGCAAAGAAACAGTTAACACAAGTATCAGAAAACAGGTATCAGGGGAGCACAGGAAAGTAACATGACTGCGGAGTCCAGTCAGCCAATGCGATCGTGTTAACGGTTTCCTTGCTATTGGGGGTCTTAGTAAAGAATGTTTAAGTAAAACATGAAGCCTCAAATAACATTTTAGATTATTTTGAACACCGAGGATAGAATAATCCTCAATTGTGAAAGCCAGTCACTGGGCCTTTAGGACATCGCTCTGTTTCCTAGAATGTGGTAGTAACATTAGTTTCACCAGCACACGGTTATGCCATCAATTTACTGCTGACACCATCCACTTCTAGATTTGCGAGAAAAGAGGGGGTCAAGGGCTGCGCTTGGGTGAAAAAAATAAATAAATAATAATTATAATTTTTTTATTTTTTTTTTACCCAAGCGCAGCCCTTGACCCCCTCTTTTCTCGCATTTCTTACACAAGGGTTCCGTGAGGGATTTCCCTTTTAGGGTTGCTGCTCAATTGAATTAGCGCAGACTCTTCCTCCGTTTTGTTTTACCACTTCTAGATTTGCCCATAAATAGGAAGGAGATATGACTGCAGAGTAAGACTAAGCTAGCTCAGAAGTCAAGGGTGGACTAAAAGGGCAACAAGAAAGGGCCGATTAGGAAAGTATACAAAGTTGCTAATGTAGGGATATTGTGCAATCGTCCCTGAAATCTTAGCCACAAGGTAGTGAAAAAAGCCTATACTACCTTGTGGCTAAGATTTCAGGGACGATTGTACAATATCCCTGCATTAGCAACTTTGTATACTTTCCTACTCTGCTTTACCTGCCATACTAGATCTAGACAGCCCCTGGATAGTGATGGATAATTTATTTATCTTAAGCTTTCAATAAGGGGGGTTTAGATACTTTGTTCCTGTTTATGTTTTTTTTTTTTTACTCTTTTTTTTTATTGGTACTAGGGTTGTTTATATCTCTGCAGATAACATATATCTGGTACCTTGGACTCACGGGTGGTTGGCTTACATTACCCACCCAGATGTCTACTTGCATACCATTTCTTACTGCATTGAGACCCTAGTCCATTTTTGGAGTGTATATACTATCTAATAGGGGAGGCAGTTTATACCGTTTGGCTGCTTTCTTAATATTTATTTGCTTCTTCTGGGGTTTAGTTTATAATCAGGCCACAAGAGGGGACATTGTATATTCACACTTGCCTCTGTAATAGGAGCTCTGAATACTATCCTTAGACACTACAGGACGTTGCATTTTCTATTACCCCCTTCTAGCTACCAGCATTATCTAGATACGGTCATTACTTAGTCCATCTATGCTACTCTATTTACTTTTTGGTAGCTATGTTGCCTACCCATATCCTATCTTATTTATAGCACTTTTTATTGTTTCAGTGGTATTTTTACCCTTTATAGGAGTGTTTAGCTCCATATGTTGATATATCTGAGACGTACCAGGAAGACTCTAGCAAGACCCATTTTTTGTATTTTTTAGCACTTTTTTCACTTGGTAGCACTTTGCCTTTTTGGTTATTCACTACAATATATTTTAATGTTTTTCTAATAAAAAGTGTATTATTTTTATTTATTGACATTTCCTTACCTTGGATTTTGAGTTAATTACTCAATTACACCCTATGCTGGCTTTTTGTTGGGAGTTAGACTTCTGTTTTTCCTCCCAATAATATTGACTTCAGGGATTTTCTCTTTGTAGATTTGCCCATAGTTGCTCATTCTATGGTTTTATTTTAAGAAGAAAAAAGGGACAGAATTGTTTGGGTTTTTTTTATTATCAATTTGGAGCACAAGTATTGTACAGCGAAGAGTAAATCTATTTAAAGAAAGATACTAGACACTGTATATAAGCCTGAAAATAAGAGATTACTCGTGATAGTTCTTTACTAGTGATGTCCCAAACGGTTCGCCGAACGGTTCGCCACGGACGGCGAACATAAGCATAAACTTTGACCCTGTACCTCACAGTCAGCAGACACATTCAAGCCCATCAGCAGCAGACCCTCCCACCTCCTGGACAGCTCACTAAGAATGCAGCTTCACAATGAATGTAAAATCGATGCTGTCCAGGAGGTGGGAGTGTCTGGGAGGGAGGGTCTGCTGCTGATTGGCTCGAATGTGTCTGCTGACTGTGAGGTACAGGGTCAAAGTTTACCACATATGTTCGCCGTCCGCAGCGAACCGTTCGGGACATCACTATTCTTTACATTTTCTTTTCCTAATAACACATGACCCAAAAATTTAGTATATTATTATTAAGGCAACTCCCCCAAAGTTTTTAAATTACTGCCTGTCTTTGATGCAGACCGTGTTCATACCAACACTGACATATTGTGTTTTGGATGTATAACTAGCAAAACCAAAAGAATTTTAAGCATTACTGTGCAAAACAAACAAAAATGAAGCATAAAAGAACAAAAATAGCAAAACCTTTTTTTTCTTCTTCAATGTTTGCCTCCTATGTTGATAAATTGTAAATATTAACATTTAAGCTCTTACTGTTACTATTGTGTCGGGTGTCTAGTGTGATGGATGGGATTTATTTTACAATGGTGAGATTAAAATGTCATGTGCCAGAACACTGACACCATGGCTTAGGTTTAATTCTCTCAGCAAAAAAAAAAGTAGATAATTATCGACAGTTTTTTGGTCATTTTCAAACATTTTGACTGGATTTCATGCCAGCTGATAAACAGTTTGAAATAAAATGATAGTCAATATGATCCCATTAATAGTAGCCATGCACCCATGTGCCAGTGAGACTTGCCTGTCGGGGCTTTCTGATCGAGCTTACACAGGGTGGGAAAGCCCTTCTTAGGGCTTTTACTGCCTTGTAATCTCATTCCTCACGGTAGCCTCCCATAGCTTAAGTTAAATGTGTTGCTGTGTTTTTCTGGGACTTCTTTTTTGTACATTAACTATTCAAGGCAACATATTGCTATTTTGTGGAAACGGCAATGTTTACCTTGAGGGGTTAAACATATCTCCGGTGGCTGTTACATTGCCACTGGAGGCCTGTCTGCTGCACTGACCTAATAAACTTCAGTCACATAAAGCGGAAGCTTCCGTAGGAAATCATTGATTCAATGCTTTCCCATAGGGAAGCTTTGATGCGTGCGCAGGGCCTGCTGCATATCAGGTTCCCAGTTCTCTTCTATGAGGGTCATTGGATTCAACCACGCCAAAGGAGACCATGCCTCCTCCATAGCATCTCGAGAAGAGGACTGGTGCACAGCGCTGAGGGAGCCTCAACGCTGGAAAATGTTAAGTAGAAAGTGGGGAGGGGACCTATATAAATATAGAAGTTAGGAATACAGGTGATACTGGAGATGTTGTGACCTGTCAGCTAATTAATTACATTTATTTTGGTTTTGACTTAGCACGGCATATGAAAGTAACAGTAGTAGTCTTTTATCACTTTAATACTTATTTCACTGCTTCTCCTTTTAGCATATTATTCACTTAACTTGAACAGTGAGGCTCTATGTACTGTGACTTCTTGCATCACCTCAGCTCTTGACACAATGGCAGTGTACACAGAGGCGTAACTACAAACCACGGGACCCTGTGCGAAAATTGCCCTGGGGCCCCCCCATATGTCTACTTTCCCCCTCACCTAAGTCCAGCCCCCTCCCCACACTCGCATGCAGACAAACAAATACACATACAGACACACACACATACAGAGAAACATACATACAAACACACATATATAGAGACACATACATACAGACACAAATACACTAACACACACATATGCAAAATGTTTAAGTCACCCTCTTGTTTCCTACCTTTTAGGTGCAGGAGGGTGACTTTCCCTGAGGTCCAGTAACTCAGGCTGATGGGAGTCGAAGTTCCTACTCTTGACTCCCTCCTCTCTTTCCTCCTCCCACGCGGCTTTCTTTGATTGCTGAGAGGAAGTGACCGGGGCAGTAACTTCCTCCCAGCGTCTGATGTCACCACATGGGGCCCCCTAATGGGCCCCTGAACTGTTCCACCGCGCAGGCCGGGGCCGTGTTACATAGCCGGCAGGCACCCAGGTTGCGGGGGTCCGCAGTGCGGCCGGGCCCCTTGGAGTGATGAGTCCGGTCACTGCTGCGACCCCTGTAGTTCCACCACTGGGTGTACATATGGAGCAGAATGTCTTTTTATTCCTGTAAGGTGTCCTGTAACTTGAACATGCTTACATTACAACCAACAACAATGTGGTAACACAGATACCAGAGGAAGGCTTTTAATAAACAATATCCATGTATTCAGAGAGCTGCCATAAACTTTATACACTATCAGAAAATGCCTTTGTTGTCTAAGAAATTGTTATTAAGAACCAGCTTTGCATACATGTTAGAGCTGTCTACAAAGGAATTCTCCATACTTTCTCATATCACCCAACATTCTGAATCTCCATGGTTCTCAGACAGGTATGTGGACTTCCTTTCTTCTTTAGGATCCTTTTATGTGTTATAATACTTCCTTTGAGGTCAGGCATCCTAAGCTTGATGAATGTTTCAAATGGTGGTTTTGGAACACCCTAATTACACTAAGGACAGTACTTGCCAAAAACACCCTCATTTTCCTCCAATATATAGGTAGGAGGCATATGATCCCCTCCGTTGAGATGTTTAATTATTACTGAATTCTCCACTGTGTCATATCCCACCAGCAGGCCAATTTCTTCTCATATGCTACCTTTTTGAATCTACCTGTGCTAGACCAATGTGAAAATCCTATCTATTACTCTTTTTAGGCGTACAGCAAGAAATACATTGTTAAGTTGCCCTAAACAAACTTGGACTCATTCTTGATCAGTGGGACTTTAGTAAGTATGTTTATATATGGACCTTTTGTTGCGATATAAAATGTACACCTTCTCTAGTGATATCTGTTTCCACAATGTAGTTCTCTTGGTGAGTGTGACAGAATGTTCTGTTATTTCACCTCCTTAAAGGGGTGCTGTCACTTCCCATGAATTTTACTATTATATTTACTTCTCCCTATATGTAACAAATGTGTATTTGCGAGGTACGAAAAATTACAATTAAAAGTAGAAATCAAAACTTCTTCACCCTGCACCTTGATGCCTTAGTCATGGTTATAAGCTCTGTCCTTTGCACTTGGTAGTCTTCATAGAGAGGAAAACCACAGAAGTGATGAATGAAACTATATACTTCCCATCCTCATTTAAAATGTTTGCCCCTGCTTTCCCCGAACTGTCATTTGCTAAATCTTTCTAAATGCAATATCCAGAGAAGTGGCATTTCCCCTTTAACTCTGTTTTGGAGACAAGTCTGAAGCAGTCTGAGATAAAATGTCTAGATGAGATATCTCTGCCAAAAGATACTATTCTTTGGCTCTCAATTGTTTGAGCTGTTGACTTCATAAGTTTCTCTATATCTTTACTGGTTTGTTTTTTCCTTCCCATTGTTCCTTTTCCCTCTTCATGTACTTAGGGTTGCTAATATCTTGCACTGGCTTATTTCATCTTTACATTTGTAAATATGTTGTTTTGGTTACCTTTGACTGTATTAGTTAGAAAAAATTAAAAATAAATTATATATTTAATAAATGGACCATAGTAATTCTTGCATTGTACTTTCTGTGTTTTTTCACTGTTCTCCCTAGAGGATTAAATGTAATGTCATTATATACCTAACATGTATTTTTCCTATAAAATGTATGGTTGTTAACCTGATTTTTATGTTTTTTTTTCCAACAGGAGGTGTTAAGTTTTGAGAGTTAGCAGCAGCTGGTGAACTGTAGCGACAATGGTAGTTTATAGTGTACATAAATCTGATAACCTACGCAAATCATAAACAGATAAATCACAAATAGATAACCCCTTATATGCAAACTAAATAAATAGAGACTAAGGATAACGTAAGTGTAAATGAAGCATTTTATTTGTTGTATTTAGGGGTTTACACATGGTGAAGATGCTGTTAAAATAATGGTACATTTGTAAATAATGTACCGTGTACATTGAACATTAATTCTCTGTTGAATGATCAGAATTAATAGTAATCAACGTTTCCGCCTTTGTGAATGAGTCAACTGGATAATACAGAAAATATTAGAACAAATGTATAAAAAAATTAATTTGTAAGAAAAAAAAAATGTTATTTTCAATTATATTTTAATATAAAATATTCTTGTTTTCAGTACCTTACTCTCATACCTAAAAATGTAATCGCAGTTAGTTTCACATTGGTTATGAGCACCCCTAGATTTGATCAAGTTTAAATATTGATCTGACCAATTGCAAATTTTGAACAATTATGAATACTGTTAACAGAATTCTGTCCTTAAAAAACAAACTATACAAGCTTTGTATTGTTACTAACCCATTTCTACCTAATTATTATTAACTGTTCATGTACAATAATGAATGAAAAACCTTAGATTTAAATAAAATATATATCCTACAGCATTTTGTCCCTGAATATATTGTTTAATCTTATCTGGCAGCATTTCATAACAAAATGCAAAACTTCAAGGCAAAGAAGTTTAAAATCTATATTTACAATTCTACAGTCTACCTTGCAGACATAAAAAGGTACCATTTTCTATCCCTTTCGACAATTTTACCTCTTCATTTACATATAGTTACCAAGCTATACAAATACTGTAAAAAATAGCTTAATATAGAAAGCACATAGTATGGCAGTACAGGTTAAGACGCAATATCCTCAATAAGGTCTGTTAACAAATCCAAGTTGGGAAAAGAAGTGGAATTGTAGCATGATTGTCGAGGGAATTGCAATTTGTAGGCAAAGCTGGAAAAGTATATGGTAATTATTTATGTTCAGTTATTCTGGCTTTTAATTTGATATTGTTAAAAAAGAAAATTATATTATATATACATGAAAAATTGTGACTTTTATATGCAAACATCCACTTAAAATAGTTCTGCCTTCTATGAATATTAAAAATAGAATAATTAAAGAGGAACACTGTAAAACAAGCATATTTTATACTTATAGCATATAATAATAAGTATAATTTTTTTAAAGCCATTATTTACATGGTATACTACTCCACTTTAAAGGGACACATATTCCCGCTTGAGTTTTATACTAGCCATTGAAATTATTGGGCCCCCAAGAAAATTAAGTTTTACTTACTATATTTTGCTGCTGCTATTCCTCTTCTAACTGAGGTCACCAATGCGGATGATCTCAGTCAATTCAATGCATCCCCATAGGAAAGCATTGGGAGTCTAGTGCACATGCGGCGCAATTGCTGCACTTTGCCAATCAGCATCTCCTCAGCATGGACTTGATGCATCTTGATTGGAATGTTTGGCCTATCTGTAGCAGAACGTCAATCATACAAACCTCGTAAGAATGAACCAAGGAAGTTCTTCTAGTGGCTGTCTGGGGGATAGACACTAGAGGTGGCATTAGGCAGCAATGTAAACATTGCCTGTTATGAGAAAAAGGACAGTGTTTAACCCCTTAAGGACTGGACTGTTTTTGCGATGTTGTACATTTGCGACTAGGCATATTTTTACACTTTTGTGGTGTTTGTGTTTGGCTGTAACTTTCTGCTTTCTCATTTACTGTTCCCATACAAATTATATATTGTTTTTTTCAGGACAAAAGGGGCTTTCTTTACATACCATTATTTATATAATCTCATGTATTTTAATTTAAAAAAATACAAAAATCTGATGAAAAATTGAAAAAAATACATGTTTTTTGACTTTTACTTGAAAAATCTTTTACTCATCTACAAAAGCGAATGAAAAAAACTTCTAAATAGATTCAAAATTTTGTCCTGAGTTTAAAAATACCTAGTGTTTACGTGCTTTTTTGCTTTTTTTTGCATGTTATAGGGCTATAGGTACAAGTAGGATATTGCGGTTTCAAAACATACATTTTTAAAATTTATCAATAGTGACATTGTAACACTATTATCTGTCATAAATCTCTGAATAACACCCCACATGTACATATTTTTTTTAAAGTAGACAACCCAGGGTATTCAATATGGGGTATGTCCAGTCTTTTTTAGTAGCCACTTAGTCGAAAACACTGGCCAAAGTAAGCATTCATATTTGTTTGTGTGTGAAAAAAGTAAAAAAACTAAATTGAACGCTAATTTTGGCCAGTGTTTGTGACCAAGTGGTTACTAAAAAAGACTGGACATACCCCATTTGCAATACCTTGGGTTGTCTTCTTTTGCAAATGGTATGCCATCATGGGGTAATTCTCATTCCTGGGCTACCATACGCTCTCAAAGGCAACGTAACCAACCTGGCCATTTTCAATGTAAAAATATTTGACCCATATATTTGACCTTGTAACTTTCAAAAATGCTATAAAACCTGTACATGGGGGGTACTGTTTTACTCGGGAGACATCGCTGAACACAAATATTAGTGTTTAAAAACTGGAAAACGTATCACAACAATTATATCATCAGTAAAAGTGCTGTTTGTGTGTGAAAAATGCAAAAAAAGTCACTTTCACTGACAATATCATCGCTGTGATATGTTTTACTGTTTTGAATCACTAATATTTGTGTTCAGCGAAGTCTCCCGAGTAAAACAGTACCCCCCATGTACAGGTTTTAGGGTGTCGTAGAACGTTACAGGGTAAAATACAGTGCTAGCAAATTAAATTCTCTGGAATTTCGGCCTGGGTTGGCAGGCAGGTCCCTCAAATTGCAATCAATAAAATTACTGAATTATGTAAAAATATTACATAAATACGCACGTAGAATTTAAATATATATGCATATTTATATATTTGAAGTCTACGTGTATATTTATATAATTATTTATGTAATTTTGTATATGGACGTATGTATATTTCTTATTATTTTTATTTATTTTTATATACATAGATATATATACAAATTCATTCTAAGTGTATTTTGATATAAATATATATATATTAATTTTAAAATACAGTTAGAATAAAATTTCATATAGCTATATAATTTTTTTAAAATTTTTTATTATTATTTTAAAAAAATTTTATTTAATTTAAATTACTTATTATTTATATTTTATAATAATATATATATACAATATATATAGTTATTATATATATTATATATATACGTGTGTAATTTAATTATAAGTGTATTTTTATATTAATATAAGTACATATTAATATAAAAATACACTTAGTATGACATTATATACATATGATATATAGACATATATTATATAGATATAATATATGTCTATATATCATATATACACATATATAATTATTTTTATTTTTTTTATTAACACTAACTTTCATTTATTTTTTGATTTTACACATGCAGGGAGACTGCCTGTCAGCACAGACAGTCCCCTGCAGGCAGACACATGGACACCTATTGTGACCATGTGATCGCTGTGTTAAGCGATCACATGGCCACAGGGGTCCTAATCTGCCGTGGGGAGACTGTCTGGGCTGCAGGCAGTCTCCCCACAACCGGAGCCACGCTGATCGCCGCCGGGGGAACGACGGCGATCAGGTAAGTAGCTCTGACCGTTAGGACGGTTCAGGACCGTCATCGGTCGGCAACGCAAAAATGCCGATGACGGTCCTGAACCGTCCTCGGTCCTTAAGGGGTTAAACAGCTGAGCCTGCAGGGACAATATCTTTGCCTCAATTCCACTAAATTAAGCTTAGTGCTTCTGGTGCCTAGAGTCTCCCTTTAAAGTTTTCTAAAATGTCTAATTTGCTTGTCACCTCTCCACATTTCCTGGTTGAATAACCATGGGAGTGTGGACACTGGTATTCTATCTACATGCATACAGTATATGGAGTATATGGGATCATTCATTAATCTGCTAGAAACTGACCAGTGATTTAAAATGTAATGCCAAAACAGCCAAACTGAAAATATCTGACTTAGGTGAAAAAAACAGGCTTGGAAAATAAGCTAACATTTTCCTGATTAATTCCAGTTACTACAACTAACTCTTAGTAACAGTCATGTGGCAATATTATTGGCACCTGAAGACTTGTTATTCATGATATGCCTATCTGTCTATTGTTTGTGTGTTGATTGGCTAATATGTTAATTTTAAATTATAAACAGTATTTTGTATTCATAAAACTGTTGTCACAGTTCTTTTGCTCTTTGCTTACAAGTTAGACATTAACAGTTAACTTCGTTAAATGTTAAGTTTTTCAAAAATCCCATCAAGATATATTTACACATGCTCATAACAATTTTTTCTTCCCACACGCCTGCTCTGGTTTATGAGTGTAGTTTTTCCAATAGGGTTTTGTTATGATTGTGAAGATGAGCAATTTTTCATGATCCATCCAACATATTTGATCATTTTGCTTGACTGCCTCCAGAAACTTATGAACTGCCCGTAGAAATCTGTGAGTCGTATTTTCTGAAGCTGGACCGATGCGACAAACCCCTGGAAAATAGAAAATAAATTTAAAAAAAGGCAAATTTCAATAAAGTATAAAATATACCACAAAACAAAGAAACAAAAAGTCCAACATCTGGAATAAGCAAAAAAGGTGTTGCTGTAACAAAACTTTCATACTTGTACAAAATTGTCTGCTATATATATATATTTAAATTGAAAAAAAACTGAGAAAGAAACAATGCTTTTCAATATCTCTGTCTGTTGTCTGCTGCTCTAATAAATGTTTGTATTTGTACTGCGAAGCAATGCTAAACGTGGAACCGTTCAGAACTTTTATTAGGGTCGCTGCTTGCATGTACTGATGCATATAAGAACCATACTTCAAAAAACCCAGGAAATTTCTAATGTTTAACTTGAGTCTGTTAAACCTGAGCAGTTTATTCTGAATAAGGAAACGTTTTTGGAACCCGAACTTTTAACCTATCATCCTCTGTTGTAATGCACAAATAAAAAGTGAGACATTTTGATTTCTTTATGTAGAATAAATACATACAGAGGTGGTTATTACACTTCTGTAACACCCACCTCTGGTTCACCTGTACTTCTCCTTAGCTCTTATTGATTTGTCCTTCTTGGGAACTCTTCCCCAAGCAGGGCAAACCTCCTCCATGACGCCGACATGCTGGCTATATTGTCAACGCGTTGATGTCTGAATAGATGACTTCACATCACTCTGTTCCTGTACTCCCTAACCAGTGTAGCTAGCTTGTATAATCTGGGTCTGCCGAGCAATTGAGAGGCAGATGAAAAAATATTACAGAGTATTAAAAAAAGTTATTGGGGGGAGGGGGGACCAGACGTCCAAGCTGTTCAGACGTGCACTGATTGAGCTCTTGCATCTTTGCTGAAATTTTGGGTTCTGAACGCAAATATCTTGGCACCCAGATTATTTTGTGCATAGACTGGGTAGGGGTTTAAGGGCTACCTGTCTGCTACCTTTCATGAAAACCTACCTTATCGAATCCCCGATAATTCTGCTGGTGGGGCCTACTTGAAACGAAGTTGGAAAGAAGTTGACGAACTTCCTGTGCCCCTGTTCAAGGTTTGGACCAGCGGCACTCCTACCTCCCAAGCCTAAGCTGAGACTAGGTTTCCCCTGTAAGTAGCAGCCGTGACGGTGAGGCAACCTCCAGGTGACATTTATGCAACAAATTCTTGTTCGCCCACCTAAGCTAAGAGCCAACTGGGGCCTGCACATCTTGCATCGCCCACATAATCCTCTGTTCTCTCGCTGTAGAGGATAGACTTCAACTTATGTAGCACCCAAGTCAGTGGTACCTTGATGCAGGTTCTCCTATGGGCCTGGGCTGGCGTAATGCTCTCCTCAGTAGAGCGGTAACTTGGCCATCACTGGAAGGTGGCTGAACCTGCCTGGTAGTCTACAAGTGTACAGCCTGAGCCAGTCTTATGTCTTGCCTAGCTAATAACGGGTAGCGGTTTTATATACTAGTTTTTTTAGACATACACCAAGATTTTGTTTGTTTTATTTCTTGTGCTCTACATTTAAAGTGGTATAGCGATACATAATATTATCTTATATTTCTTCAGTGATTTAACCAACCTGATTCTACAATATATTTAGTTGTCAGGCCTCTTGATCACACTCATATGTCAATGAGCACTGCTAGTCCTTGTTGATAGTCTCTTTAATGCTTACATAAATAGGTAGTAAATGTTTTTGTCTGCTTACTCTATGCTCCTATTGACACCGGTACATAGCTTTCGTAAAGAAGGAATGTTGGGATTTAGCAATAAAATGGAGGGGAAAAAGGCACTGATTGTGTAATAACATCAGGTATACAAGTGGGATTAGATGTCCAATGGTCCAACTCACATTGGAATGAGCCTACCAGGACCGGCTCAGATTGTATGGGCAGAAGTGTACTAGGTGGCACAATCCCCTCTTCTGTCCGCTCAGATGGTGTATAAGAAATGAAAAAGAAGTGGGGAAACCAGTAGACTTCTGGTATAGTATATTTAAATACTCTGAGATAGATATGAAATAAAGATTTTGCTCACCTTTTCCAGAGCCCTTTAAGCCTGGCTCAAGGTGATAGCACTCTGCTCCTATGAGGGGGCACAACCTTTCTTTAAAAGCAAGCATGCAGGAGTGACTTGTAGGATTATATTATTTATTTAAACATACATAGCAGTTAAAAACAAAGTGATACAATAAAAAGCTAGCTGCCAAGAATATAAACAAAATGCCCTTGTTCCTCCTCTGATATGCGTTTAACGCTCTCCTAGGGCTTTCTCAAACGGTGTATACCCAACATAAGGGTAGATGCAGTGAAGTATTTTGGATTTGTGCTGCCCTAGGCACAACTAAATTCAGGCACCCCCAAAATCTAGGCTTGCTCCCCCCCCCCCAATTTGTGTCAAGGCCAGTTTTTTTGACCGACAGACACAGCCAGCCCTCATTGATACATATACTGACATACACTCAATGACAGATACACAGTTATTGGCACACACACAGTCATTGGCACACATACTGTATAACCAACACACACTTTCACTGACAGACACACAGTTTCAGATACAAATAAAACGACAGACACACACTGACACACTCACAGACATACCCCTCCTCACTGATTTGACACACTCTGACAGACACACACTTTCACTCACTCACAGACACACACTGACAGCTACATTCACTCACAGACTCACAGAGTGTGAGAGAGCAAGGAGAGCAGAGGACAGCACTACCTTGCTGCCCAGCTAGAATATTAGTAGTTTAACACCTGGAGGGGGTAGGGTGGACCTATTTGTAATTCCTTCCAAGACTTGGATGTCTTCACCATAGGGACACATAGGGACACTGTGGTACATAGAATCAGTGGCACCCAGTGTCCCCAAGTCTCCCAGTGTCCCCTAGTGACATGGGGACACTGGTAGACATGGGGACACTGGGAGACATGAGGACACTGGGAGCAATCCATCTATACAGTAGAATCAAACTGTAAGTAGTTTTTTGGTGATTTCACATAATTTTCTCTTACGTCACTCCTTGTGATTTACATCATGTGATGTCACACATACATAATCAGTTATGCAAATTAGTAAGGCCTATTTTTTTTCCCCTAAGATTGGTGGCAACCCTAACTACTCTTCACATACTCTTGCTTAAGTATGGAAACTAAAGAGGGATATATGGAAACAAAACTTGTTTGGACTAGCTGTAATGAAATTAGTTAAGGTAATGCTGACTTTGATCTCTCTAACACTGTGGCATGTTCCCTTTCTTCTACACTCACTACATCAACCTTTTCTCTATCTCAGACTGTATACCAGGAGCTTCTGCCTGCTAGTAACAAGGTAAGGAGACAAGTGGACATGTGAGTGCTAGGGGACAGTCCTTAGAAAGCATGGAGCGAGTGCATCATTAAAGCATTTATGCCAAGCTCAAGATGCTGTTGGCCAGCATGCATGATTGGCAGGCAGCCTGACATGCATTCATGCCAGGCTAGCCTTCCAATTCTTTGGGCAGACACGCCTTCTTTTTGGGCACGTTCGTCCCTTTCAGGAGTTCTGGTTACATGATCCGTGTCAGTGGCCCACCCTTTTACACCGCCCATTGACTTCCTGCTTCACTGGACACTGCTGTTAGGAAGTATGGATTTACTTGAAAGATGAAAGCATGAATTAGAGAGAGATTAGCATATTTTAAGAGAATCTGAGGTTTTTTTTTTTTATAGCTGCATCCTATGTTTCCCTCAGGCAACATTTCCACCAGGTTCATAACACTAGAGAGGTATGTCTTTTTTAGTGTTTTTTGGTCGATAAGATTCTGTACTTAGACCCCTCATAATTGTCAGCACCAGGTCCACTGGGCTCTTAATCTGGCCCTGACTAGGGTGTGAACTAGTCATATTTGTATAACTGTTTTTAAGCACCTATATATTCACAGAGCACTTTGTGTTTTTCCTGAATTAATGTTTTATCGTTTGACATATGCAGGATTATTGTTTTACTTTATTTCCCATAAAAAGTGCAACTTATATTGTATGCTTGCAACCTCTCATGCCTTATCGGATCTCGTGGAAATATCACTATATCTCTGTATGTTTATCATTGCACGTACAAAATAAAGAACGTAAAAAAAATATTAAAAAACGACCATATTTTAGCAAGTGATACCAGCATAGTCACACTTGTTCACATAAAATATCAAAATATATCATAAAATGACAATAAAGAATACAACATTAACAGTAAATGTAAATAAAAAAATCTGCTATTTAGGAAAATTGTACTTCTACATCCAGGATTCTCAAGATTCTCTAGTTAAAGAAATTAATTGTAAAGTCTTCAACTCGATTAATTTGACATTCTGACTTCCACGACTTTAAAAGCCTTCTTTGTCAATTAGATCTCCCTCCCCAAGACAGGAATGAGACACAGAGTGGACCTGTTTGTAATTCCTTCCAAGACTTGGATGTCTTCACCAATCTCTAGTCAACTGTGAAATTAATGATTGGATATATCCCACAACCCTGGAGATCTCCCTTTGGTTTACAACCCACAAGGATAATAGCACAATTGTCAGTCTGCTATTTGTTGCTAATAAATGCCATACAAAGTTTCCAGGAAAACAAAATGTGAAGATTGGCATAACTTATTGGTGCACTTGCACTAACATTGACAAATAAATTAAAGTCCTATTTGAAAAACATTTTAAATGATTTATCTACATTAGTGAAAATTAAAATCTGTAGGAAATTTAGGAAATAACTAATTTGGAAAGTTGCACTAACAGATTGTGATTAAATTAAATAGGTATGCTTACATCTAGCTTAATTTAAAAGTAAAGAAGTGACTTGTTTTCATTATTCTTTTGCAGTCAGGTTAGATTGCAACCGGTTAAAATTTCAAGCATTTTATAAGATAAAGATGTCTGATCACTTTAAGACTGTTGGAATGTTAGAGGCTTAAGGAATGCCTCACTTTGTGATGTTTTATACACGGCTTTGCTAGTGCCTGTCTCCAATTCCCTGTGCCAAGCATGGCATTATGAGATAGAATGCCATAAGCCTTTTGACAGAGCAAGCTGACTTCATTGGTGCATTAACATTTTCTACAATTCAGTTCAATGACACACAAACAAGGCAAAGTAGACATTGTCAGCCACAGAGACACACTATAGAACATGTATGTGCTGTATATATAATTCTTTCAGCCTTATTATGCCACACATTTCGCTACCAAAATTTGCCAATAGAAAAATATATGAATACATTATAGAGCTCTCTGCGCATCATTGTAGACAAGGAGAACCACACAAATGGTTGACGTAAGTCTCAAATTATCTAAAAGTGTGTACATCACTATTTGTTAGTTAGTTATACTAATAAGGAATGGGTAATAATTCGCATTATATTGGAGGACTTAGCAACATATAATTCTATGCATTTTGTTGCACCCATTATGTCCAGCAACGGATACTGTCAACATATAACTGAATAGGTTCATTCCAACAGACACTGATGGATTGTGTATGTCCAAGATCCTGCATGTAATTCAGAGTCTCACCATTGATGCACATGCAACTTGTATTATGTATTAAGTGGATCTTAGCACGGAACCCTGAGACTTAATAATTTCAGTACCCTCCAGGCTACATCCACATAAAGTGCTTGGCTCTCTTGACTGCTCTGTTGCTGAATTATTATTAGACTAGATTAGTGATGACTTGCCCCAGAACATAAGTTTAAACTGACTGTCTTGGCCATAATCCATTAATTTACTCTGCCCATCCTGAATCCCAACTTGTCTGAACAACTTTTTGGTTCTTTCTATATTTACATTATCAGCATAATCTGATTACAGTGGTCATATGAAGCGGGGTCACAAACTATGGGGGAACGTCTCAGAACATGAACACATCTGTCTGTTCTACTTAACATTTACACACTGAAAATCCAATCTGGATACCCATTGGCAAGTTTTCAAATGTATCCCGTTTTTTCAAGTATCATTAGAGCCTTCACAAACGAAAATGCTGTCATAGGACTTGATATAATAATACTTTTAGAAAAAAAATAGTCTTTAATGGTGATTTCTGTAGATAAATAATTTGTAAAGCTTAGTAAATAAGGCCATAGTTATAGTTACTAAATAAAAAGTACACAATTAGATACATGTGACCTTTGTATGCATATGTCATATACCTTGCTTCATTGCGGGTCTTAATAACAGTCTTGTACAGCTCAGGGATTTTGCGTTCAATCATTGGCCGCAGATTCTCTTTCAGCTTGATATAATTCTTCTTCAGCTCTTGATGATATTCTCTCTGATCAGATGTAATAAGTGTCTTGTTTCTCTCTACTGCCTCACCACACCTGTTAAAAGAAAGGTATAGCTACATATATCTTTATAAAATATATATATATATATATATGGAGAGAGGGAGAGAGGGAGAGAGGGAGAGAGAGAGAGAGAGAGAGAGAGAGAGATTTTGTTTTCTATGTGTGCAAAATGGCTAAAGACTAAAGAGCATTGTTCTTAGAATAGGCATTGCATCCTTAAGACATCTGTCGAAGTGCAATAACGAAAAAAAAAAAAAAAAAAAAAATGTATTATTAATTTTAATGATAATTTAAAGGGCACTTATTCATGAGAGATGTGTCAAAGATTGGTGCATCACCTACAGATGGAATATCTGATCACTGGTCGGAAGTTACCATATATTTGTTTGCTGGTGAGATTATTTCACTGTAATCAAATTTAGACAATACAGTATTAAAGGAACAGTTTAGGCACCATAACAACTTCATCTAAATTAAGCTGCGATGGGGCCAGGAGGCCAGGAGGCCCTCCTGCGCCCTCTTACTCTAAGGAGTTAAACCGTTCTAGAATGGTTTAACCCCAAAGGTTGCCTCCAACAGTGAGAACAGCTTTGTGGGGTGCAAAATTAAAGGAATCAGCAGCAAAAGTGGAAACATCTATACCGATGAAAGTAAAGTAGTTCCCGTGGAGAATATTATATTTAGAAGATAGGAAATGAGAACAACAACTTTGTAGAATATAGACAGGGAGAATGCAGTGGTGAAAGTGATAAGAGTGAAGAACACAGCATGGCAGAAATGGGGACACTCATTAGTGAGAATAAAGAGAGGGCTACAGTAAGGGATACATCACAGTTTATGAGATCTTGGTAAATAAGGAACTATAGGAAATAGAGTGGATGACATGCAAAATGTAAGGATGATATATTGATTATGGAGAGCAAAAAACAAGTCGCAAAAGTGTATATCATTTTAGACTGGTCCCACCCATACGGCAGTCCAGATCCAAAATGCCAGCAAGTTCCCTCTGCACGAGAGACACAGCAACCACAGACGATCGTTTCAGCCTTATTAGGCATCATCAGTGAGGCATAGCTGATATCTCTCTAGGCACCGTGAGCAAGGGGTCCTTGTCTGGATTACCCTTTAAACTTATGGAGAGCAAAAAACAAGGAGCAAGAGTGTGAAGGGCAGGCTATTTGAGATGCTGTCCAATCTCAGTACACTCTTGCGCCTTGTTTTTTTGCTGATATATTGATTAATTGTTGTGTACATAATGAGTAGAAGTATTATTGAGCAATAAGCCAGACATAGTAATAATAAATAAAGTGCAAGGTTTTCCTGTTTAACATCAAAAATATTGGAGACTAGAGGAAAGTGTAATGAGCAAGCCATAGAGTAATCCTGAAGGTAAGCCTTGGAGATGAGGATGCAAACAGAAAACAGATTAAGGTTGTTATCGAAATGGAAGGAATGAGATGGGAGGTATTTTATAATCCATAATGCAGTCATTGTTGGGTTTGGTGAAATTTCTCAGCCTATGAAATAAACAATAAAAACATTTACTTACACATGTTTCTCAACACCTACCTCATTATAAACTCTTTGAAGCACAGTCTCAACTTGTTGTGATGCCGATACAGCTTTGGAT